GCCAAGGGACTGCAGGTTAACTGCGCGCTCTGAGCGCTCGCCACAGGCCGGGAGGGAGTACCTCCTTCAGGCCTCCCACAGCCCGGGAGGGGCCCCTGACGGCATACCCCACTTAGACACGGGCAACTTAGGTCCCCCGGAGCCTAGCCGCCTGCCAGGGCCGCGCATGCCCCAGCTAAGAGCTTTATCCACACTGCCTCTATCCTCACAGCACCCCTTCCAGATAGGAGCTCTTATGCTCACTTTATATATAGGTGGGGAAACTGAGGCACAAAGAGTGGATTCCATGGGTTATTAAGGATTCCAACAGGGTTATTAAGAGGCAAAGCTGGGATGTTAACCCAGTTCAGCTGCAAACTCCTATACATTCCAGTGTGCAGCCAGCCCACTTTGCACTGGGCCTTTTTCTAAGCCTGTCCCCAGCTCAGAGCCCTTGCCGCCCTTGCCACCCCCGCCACCCCCTCCCCCACCCCAAGGTCTGGCATGAAGACCGGCCTCATTTCTTCCCCACGCTCAGGACAAAATGTGGGGCTGCCAACCGAACCTTCCAGGCCAATGGCTGAGAAAGCAATTGGTCTAGGTTTCTGGGACTAAGAGGTTGGAATCTTACTGGGGAAGCCGCTTGCTTCATGTCTCCCCATGCCCTCGGCTTCTACTGTGTGACCAGCGCCTTGAAACTTTCTACCTCAAAATCAGCCACAGTGGGAATATTTACACCACAGAAATTGGCCGGTGCTTACAAATCAGTCTCCGTCCCCCAGTGAGCTGCTTGTTAACCGTTATCAGCGGGCAATCTAACTCCTTTCTAGGTAGCATGGCTCAGTCCCAAGCAGCTCCAAACCCCGACATTATCCCAAGAGTCTAAAAACCGGGTCTCGGGCACCAGGGACCATAATCTTGCTGCAAGTGCTGCTTGCTGTTGCTTACACTCCGTTTCCATGGTTTCCACCACTGGACCAAAATTTAGGGCTGCCAGCTTAACTTCCCAGGCCCAAGGCTCAGAGAGAGAATGCAGCCCAGAAAGGTCTAGAATGGAGAGTCCCGAGATCAAGGAGCCAGGGGTGGCTTGGGGAGGCTGCCTGCTGCGTGCCTCCCTCTCCTGCTTGTGGCTTCTACCTTTTGACCACCAGCCAGCCCCATCTTTCAGGGACAGAAGGCTCCAAAGTGGGGCCCAGGCTGGGGCCTGCGGGGTCCCCAGGACAGGGCCGGTGCTTACCGTCCTCGTCGGTGCGGACGACCACGGGCGAGCTCTCGGGCCCTGGTCCCACCTCTGTGTGAGCGACAGCCGTGATGCGGTACTCCGTCCACTTGTCCAACGCCTCCAGCAGGATCTGAGTGGTGGTCGGGGGGATGCCGTTCACCTCCTTGGGTTGCGGGTCCTCCGAGCCCAGCGGTCGGTAGCGGACGCTATAGCTCACCAGGGCCCCGTTGTGCGTTTCCGGCGGCGGCGGGCGCCAACTTACCAAAATGGCCGTGGAGCGCGTGCTGACACATTTAACGTCTTGAGGGGGGGCTGACGGTTCTATTGGAGGGGGGAGAACGTGGGGGTGGGGAAGGGAGGCGGGATGGGTGGGGAGGGGGTGGGGAAACAAAAGATGGGAAAGAGAAAATAAAAAGAAGATGATAACAAACAAAACAGAACCAAACCAAAGAGAAGTCGAACCCAAAAGAAGCGGGTGTCAACCAAAGGTGAAATGGGCGGGTGGGCAGGTGGGTGGGGATGGTGGCCGGGAAGGCTGGCCAAGAACGCTGCACTCATGGTACAGGGCTGCACTTGGCACACAGTAGGTCTTAGGTAGAGGGTAGCCACGGTCCCCATGGAGCACAGACGTGTGTGCCATGCATCATGCCAAGCAGAAGAGCAGTAAAAGCCCCATTTACTGGCACCTACTATGTGCCAGGCATGGTGCCAAGGGCGTCACAGAATAAGGGCAAATGTACTTACTTGAGCACCTACTGTGTGCTAGGCACTGTGCCAGAAGAATGGCAACAAAAGCCTCATTTATTGGGCACCTATGTGCCGGGCATGGTGCCAGAGGCTTTACAGGGTAACAGAAAAGCATCTATTGAGCCCCTTCTACATGCCAAACACCATGCCAAGGGCTTCAAAGAATTACAGTAAGTATACTTAATACAGAACACCTACTGTGTGCCAGGTACAGCACCAGGAATGGAGTAATAGTAAACACTGGTTTCCTGACTATCAGCTGTGTGCCAGGGGAAGGGCAGTGCAAGCCCCATTTATTGGGCACTTACTATCTGCTAGGCACATCACTGAGCACTTTCTAGGTTAACAATAAGAGCACCTATTTACTGAATACCTGTACTTCCAGGGACCCTGGAGGGCACACAGTGGTTACTTCAACCAGGACCACCCCCTTGCCCTTACCTGCAAAGAAAATAATGCTTGTGTCTTGAGCACCTACTGTGTGCCAGTCAGCATGCCAAAGGCTGTATACAGTAATAGTAAAAGTCCCTGTGTATTGGGCACCTACTGTGTTGGCACCCAGCCAGGGCTTTACAGATACAGGTAGGTACATATTTAGCACCTACTGTGTGCCATAGGTTTTGCAGATCATAGTTCTTCTGTTTGGAGCCCCTACTGTGCACCTAGCACCACACTAAGCCCAATACAGATCAACAGCAAGGCTCATTTACTGAGCACCTACTGTGGGCTGGTCATCGTAATAGCCCCCTGAAGATAAAAGTGCATGCCAGGCACCGTGCTGAGGCCTTTATGAGCTAACAGCACTAGTCCCCACATACCAGCACCTGTGTGCCAGCCCTGTGCTGGAGGCTTTATCGAAAAAGAGTAACAGTTCCCACATATTAAGAACCTACTATGTGCTAGGTACTGTACTGAGGGCCCTGTCAAACATTAATAGGTCCCATTTTTAAGCACCTACTGTGTGTCAGGCACTGGTTTTACTGGGTAACAGCAATAGCCTCCCCATTTAAAGCACCTACTATGTGTCACTCTGCTAAGAGCTTTATTGGATAACAGTAGTAGTCCCCATGTATTAAGCACCTACTATGTGTCAGGCCCTGTTATTACTGGATAACAGTAGTCCCCACATATTAAGCACCTACTATGTGCAAATGACCTTATATTAAAAAGGTAATAGTTCTTACTAAGCACCTACTATTTACACAGTGCCAAGAAACTTGCAGATGACAGCTCCATGTTTTGAGCAAAAACTGCGTGCCTGAAACCATGCTAGGCCCTTCCAGATTGACAGTGGCTCCCAGCTGAGCACCTACTATGTGCAGAGCACCAGGCCAACATCTTTAAAGTGCCACTTACTGGACAATAACATATGCCAGGCACCATGCCAAGGGCTGCAGATAATAATCACAGCCTCCGTGTTTCAGAGACCTACTGTGTGCCCGACACCAGGTTAAGCTTGTTACAAACTACTAAGAGCTTTCATTCATGGAGTGCCGACTGTATGTCCAGCACCGTGCTGATCCAGTTTAGACTGAAAACAGCAGCTGCGTTTATGGAACACCTACTGTGTGCCAGGCAGCACACCAAGTGCTTTGTTAAATAACAGTGTTATCTTCCTACACATTAAGCACCGTGTGTGGTAAGGGCCTTATGGACAGTCAGTAATAGTCTCTGCATGTTGAGTGCCCACTAAGGGCCAGGCCCTGTGTTCTGAGCATTACTGACAGTAAACCTCATATTCTGTGCACATTCTGCACACTAGCACCCTAGGCCCTCTACAGACTCAAAATGCAGCTCACTGGCTATGCCTTGTTTAATTCGAACGACCCCCCTTGGTGGCCAGAACTAGTACCTCCTACCCCTACACCATGTTATAGGCAGTGAAACGACTTTCAAAGCTCCCCTGGTTTGCCTGGCATTCTTTCATCGTTGGTAGTGTACCTACTGGGTGCCAGGCCCCACTCATCCTGGATGCTCACCTCCCATTTTACAGGTGAGGAAACAGAGGCCCAGAAAAGGCAAGTGGCCTGCCCAAGGGCCTGTGGCAAGAGCCAGGATTTGAAGCTGGGCTCAGCTGCTGTCTATGGGCTGCCTTGCTTGAGGCTGGGAATTCAGGCCTCAGCCTGTGCCTTCATCAGCTCAGGCCAGTTGAGGATGGGTGAAGCCACACCCCCTCAAATGCCCACGACCCTAGAGCCCACCTCGCCTGGAAGGAAGCTCAGAGAGGTCACTGGCCTTGCTTGAGGTTAAGGCACACAGAACCTTCACCATCATGCCAGCCCTATTTATTCACTGAGTATGCGTCTACAGAGGACTTACTACATGCACACCCCACAGTAGGTTCTAGGACCCAGAGATGAATCAGAGGCCCCTGCTGTTAAAACCTCTAGGCTACCTGACTCCAGAGGCTATTCCAATGGCTTACTGCAACCAGAATGACTCTCTAGCCTCACTTCAAGTGAAACACTGGAGTTCTGGATTCTGAAAGCAGACACTTAGGGGTCCTCACCCCCATTTCTTGACCAGCCACCCCAACCAAAAGTAGCTGGGGGGAATCAGGCAGGAAGGAAAAACCAATCGAGGAATGTGCCAGAAGGAATGGATTCGCTGAAAAAAAGGGGGGATAAAATAAAACCAAAACCATAATAAAAGAAGAAACAATGATGATGGTGATGATGATGAGAAAAACCATAATAAAAGAAAGAAAGACGCCTTCCAGAAAACTCCCAGTCTGGTTACCTACCTTCCACTCTTCAACTGCTAACTTAAAAGACTTTCTTACGAGGGAGGGAATGGCGGAGCGCTGAGCTACAAGGCCAGACCGAGCTCTGGGTGGGTCTCCGGATGCAAGCTGGCGCACAGCCCTGCTCAGGCCCCAGTGTGGGCATGCCGCACTTCCGGGCTGGCACTGACGAGGCGGGAAGGTGGGACGGTGTCTGGGGAGACCCACGGCTGAGTGGTCTGGCCTCCACCTACCCTTGAGTTCAGCCTAAGAAGCCCGCACTCCCCGGGGGGGATACGCCTGGCCCTGAGTCTTGACTGCCAGTTCTCTCGGTCCCCTCCCGTCTCGGGTTGCGAAGTGGGGAGTCCCTTCTCCCTCACTCCCTGTCCTGGGCCGCCCCAGAGGTTCACGTGGCTGGGCCAAAGCCGCTTTCTTGACGACCTTGGAGGCCGTCTCCTTCACAATCCGGCCCAACCTGCGTGATATCTCGGAGGAGGTGGGGTGGGCGTAAATGCGCACAGAGATGTGTGTGTGCAGGGGCGGGGTTCCGATTCCTGGTTCCTGGACAGGCATGCCTCTTGGCAGCAACAGAGTTGAGGGGGCTGAATTTGGGCTCCGGACTGTCTGCACAGCCCAGAGCTGCTGGACACATGGGGCACAGGCTAGGGGACACGCAGGGTGGGCCGTTTTTGTGAACCCGCTGGAGACCAGCGCGTACTCACCTTTGCGGCACCTGTGCCGGTCTCTCACGTGGCCGCCCAAGCCACAGGACACCCTCACTGATCGCCTCACGCACAAACACGCCTGGAGCTGCGGGGCGCTCGGCTTGGCCCCGGCAGGTAGGGGGAGGAGGGTAGGGGGCCGGGGGTGGCAGGGAGAGGGGGGTGCTGTGTCTCCGAGGCCCTTGATCCCAGCAGCTCAGACACCCCGGCCCGGGTTGCTCTTACTCTCGACTGACCCGTGACCCCCTGTGTACACACGCCCAGGGGGGCTTGAAGGTCTGGACACCAAGTCGGCTTCTGGAACAAGGCCTGGGGTGGCTGCCCCGAGACTGACTGAGCAGGAGGTGAGGAGAAGAGGAGGGCCGCGGCGGCTGCCACGCGGGCCAGGCTGAGCAGAGAGGACCGAGCAGAGGGAGGAGGGGGAGGCAGGGAGGCTGCGGGAGGGGAGGCCTGCTTAGGGCCTGAGCTCAGAGCAGGCAGAGAGGGCGGGGTGGGGCGGGGCCACGGTGTGGCCCAGAGCCAGCTGCAGTGTTCTGGTCAAAGGGGGACTTTCTGTGACAGGGGGGGCCAGGCAGGCACAGCGAAGAACTTCAGGAATTCGAGAGCCCTGTGTTTGGGGAACCCTGAGCTCCCCCCAGAACCTCACTCCCCCCGCCCCAGCCAAGGGCCATCTGGGGAGGGAAGCGTCTCTGCGCCCTCTGCTCTCTGGGAAGGATGGGGCGCGAGCTGGGACAGCCTCACGGACCCCTCAAAACGCCTGTGGAATGGGCGCAATGTGGCCATTCCACTGGCCCCAGATCCGGGAGAAGCCGAGGAGAGGAGGTCCCATCAGCCTCCACTCCCCAACGGCGGGGGAAGCTGGCCTCGGCGGGGCCCCGCGGGCCAGGCCCTCACTGCACCGG